TGGGATTCAACTTATGCGGTCATATCTACGTCCGCGGTTTTACATAATTTTTAGTTTATAAATGTTTGTGTGACGTCAACTGATCAGGCAGCTACGGTATAAATGTACGCGTTGTATCTGGTCGTATACTTTAGTTTAGACTGATATTATTATCTTACGTCTGCAAATAAAAGATCGACAATCTCATTTCTTGTGACGATTTTTAGGCAAAGTGCTAATCTACTAGAGATTTCCGCAGCGAACGCTCGCTGGTAGCAGGCGCGCTGCGAAAATTCTTGCGGAACGTGTTTACTCTCTCGATTTGTTAGGGATGAGCCATTGTTAGTAGACACGATCCGTCAAATTATATAACGTCGTCCATTTAATTTCAACGTGTGTCATCATCATCATCATTATCGCTTTTGAACAAAAGCAATGATGATGATGATGATGATGATCGTCTACTTATTGAAGTACCGCAACTGAAGTCTGCCATTTCAGTGGATGCCTTATGGTAAGCATGGCATATACCCGCGCAACGTTCTCCTTTAAAAAGGAAATGGCTTGTTTCTTCCATACAATACTATGCCCGCAATCTTGATTTTTATAGTTCATAGCAATATATATGAGTGATACGAATTTTGATACATTAAAATGAATGCTCTAGTATTGTTTTTGTTGTTCGTTTGAAATTGGTTGGTAGTTTTTTAGCCAAACAAAAAACGCTAATTAGCTTGTCTATTTTTGCGACGTGCCAAAAAGATTTCCGCGATTGCGGCTCCGACCGCACTGGGTCTCGGCAAAAGGAAACTTTACAGCTTAAAGCAACTTGACAAGTTCCTCATCAACAATAAATGTAACATTCTACTTAACACGTCTCGTTCTACTGCTGCACGATGTTTATCTACCAGAGCGTCATTCACTGCAATGAACTGATGCAGATCGGCCGCAACGGTCAGATCGCTATTTTTCCGAGCAAAATGTCACGTTATTAGGATACACACACCTGCGTAACGTATTTGTTTGTTGTGCGCTTCCTTTATACTTTCCCTATTGTACAATGCCTAGCTAGATTTATTTTAAAGTTTTGATCTGCTTCGAACTTTCTTGTGCTTCCGTCCAAATGAACTACCACGTTTACTTCATCTTTCAAACAAGTTTTATAGGTCGAATTGACTTTGAGAGAGGAAAGTTTCATTTAAAAGAGTAGTAGTCATTAATTTTTCGTCCGAACCTGACAGATGGCTAGATATGCCAAAGCTTATGTGTAAGCTGGAAAGCTAAAAATAAGCAGCGTGAAGTAACGGACTTCCCAGAATGGTAAAATGGTCAATCGACTGACACACTGTCAGCTCCTAGAAACTATTTCGTTAGTCCGAGGTAGCACTGCCTCAGCTGCCAGACCATGCGCCTGCTTTTATCAGTCGGTCCGTCACGGAGTCTGTCAGATAGTCCTGATTATAGACTGAAATTGTTTCACCCACCAGAATTCGGTAATAAATATTTGGCCCTGTTTATAGCTAAGTCTAGACCTCAGCCGTGTAGTAGGTTGGTATATTGGCAAATATACTTGATTCGGTGCTGTTACCACGCTTACGTATTTCGGGATACACCATGCCTATGAACCGTTCAATAAGGATCAGTGTTTTGTTAAATCACAAACCAAGCGGAATATTAAAGTAAGTGAACATTGTTTTAACTATAGTCGGTCGCAAATCTTGATTCTTTCTCAGTGTAAGATAAACAGCTAATAGCTACAATCTTTTGTATAAGCGGTAAGTGTTCAATATAGTCTAACTATATGCCTATGCTTGAACGAAATGGAGTAAATGAAACGACAATAACCAGACGTAACAATGAAATTTGCAAAAAAAAAAAACCTAGCCTACATCTTTGTTAGCAAAAGCCAACAAAGATGTAGATCAGATATAAGATTTCAACTAATCGTAGTAGTTCTTTAAGTAAACGCTGACGAAAGTGCGGGGTAAATCAAAGATAGATAAATAAACTAAATAGAGATTAGAAGAGTTTCGGCTATATAACGGCTATGGTAGTGCTATATAGAGAGGTGGCTATGATGGGGGTAGTCACGTTTTCATATATAGATACAGCACGTGCTGTATTTAAATTCGTCTTAATGCAGCCTGCTCAGGTCGTATCATTTCATCTTGAACAGTAACAGTATCGTGCAGGAACGTTTTAGGACAACAAAGAGATGTTTAAATTATGCTTTTGTAAGTGGCCTTGAGTTCGTTTACATATAGTAAACTCGGTATTATTCGCTATGAGGCTGCAAGCTACTTCGACTGACCAGAATTACGAAGTCTATGTTACTTCTAATAAGATGCCTAAAATGCAAAAATTATTTTCGTCAATAATGAGATGCGTTCACATGGTTAATCCGGAAATTTTGTAAATAGCTTCGCGTATCAGATGTACGAAAGTTTTGTCACGTGTTTGTGGAGAAGGATGAACGCATCAGGAGGTGTATCCTATGGGTTTTAATACGATGGGACCACATACGTTGGAAACCTTAAAGGCTGTCTCAATACCGTACGAAAGATTCCTTCTCAAAATATGAAGTAAACATATCGAGGTGCGAAGACGATCCGTTTGATTCTAAACGTCACATGGAGTTAAAGTAACAGAATATCTCAGAAGGAGAATGAATCGAACGAGACCTTCTACACGTCCTTCAAAAAGCTTCTAGAATTTAGTATGCATCACAGACCGTTATTTGCCTACTATATTGATGGAAACTTCTCAGCATTATTAATACAATGTTAATTTGTACGACTTTAGAAGATTTAGGTAAAAAAAAAATAATAATAGTTAATTAATTGGAACAATGATGTACGTTTTCACCGTCAATGAAAGGGAACGTATTTCCAGACCATAGCTTTCAACATACAATCGACTATATTAGAAAAACACTTATAATTCAATAATTGTCCACGCAATGGAACGATTGGGCTGAACGAGCAGAGTTAAATAGTAGGTATTTTCTAGCAAACATCTTTTACTTCAATAAAAGACGCGGAGCGAACCTTCGCGACTAACACGTCCCATGTAAGGTCACATCTTCGAGCATATTTATAGTACAGCCGTCACTTCCCTAAGGAAGCGAGTGGCAAGCAAGTGATTCCTTTGTTAAGGACGATGGCGCGTGAGCCGCTAAGTTTTGTACTGGACAAACCAGGAAACGCTGGTTCGATTTCTATCATACGACCCATATACGCCTACAGAAGTTACACAAAATAGGGAAGCCCTTTTAAATGCGAACATCAATTTTCGAGTAATGTCGAATCAGGATTCAAATAGAAACGTAAAGTTCGCTTCTAGATTGAATTTTCTCTAAACGCTCGATATAAAATCGATGAAACAAATGTCTCGCTCGAATCGAAGAAAAATGATCATGGACAAAAAGACAAAATCACAAAGCGTACAGGCCCATGCCGCCCGGCCAAATTGGCACCGATTGATAATTTTATTTCACATTAGAGGGAACGTCTGTTGATTTCCATCTATGATATTCAGAAACATGGCTGGATTCAAAGGTGCCCTATCTACTTTCCTGAATCTATACTACGTCTCTGCAATAGACAAACGCTCCGATGCTCCGACTGACAACGTCACAACGCTATCGATCGTTTAGATCTGACAAATAAAGGGAGTGCTCTCCGACGCGCTCAACGTTATCGTTTTTGCATCTGTGCTTTGTTATGTGCGTCAATCCCGGAGGCTTTCCTCGATATCGGTTGTCGAATATCGAAGCGGCTGTAGGCTCATTTAGCGATGATGGGGTAACGGATGAGTTTCAGAACGAGAAGAAGAAAAGGAGGCTTATCACAAGAGGCGTGTGGTGTCTAATACATGTTGAAACCGTTTAACAAGCGGTCACAAGTGTCACGTGCATGAGCCAATCATCCGATGTACCTTAGGTGTCCCATTCTGATCATTTGTCTCAATTACGCTTTCGTAAAATGTATACCAATAAGCATTAATGGTATATTGAATATAAATAGAAGCGTTACAGTAAATAATGTTACAGCAATTTAATTGAATTTGATTTTCTGGCAGAAACACATTAAGAAGATTCATACAAGTTCTAAAATTAGTGCCCTCTGGTGGCAAAAAGGTCACTAGAAGGTTACGCATCTGCGTGCCTGTGGTCATCCAATAACAATGCCGATAAATGGATTTATCTTTTTATTATTTATCTTTTAAAAATATTTATTTTCGAAGAAAAATTGGGCTATATAAGAGACGCCTTCGCTTTTTTATGATGTTAACAAAAAGCAGTTTCTAGTTTCTGGAGTCGGTTGTCGAACTCTTCTGGTCGGTCTCCGGACCCTAAATAAGTATCTCTAATAGGACGGTAAATATCTCTATTACCTGCCTGTGCAGAAACTATGTTATTTCGACTTATTTAGATATTATATATGACGTAAGTGTGATTGTTATAATATAGTTAGTTGGCGGAAAATAAACTGCTATTGTGCTTAAAATGGAATCCAGGATCCTTCATAGGGGATAGACTCTTTTTTTTTTTGTTTTTTTTTTTTAGTCATTTTGAGTGCTGCAACTTTAAGGTAATGCAATAAATATAGAAGCATATGAACAGAAACACAAGATCTTCAGCCTTTATGAAATGTTGATTCGTTAATTGCGCATTAAGTTTTAGACACCAGGTGTTTAGGGTCAAGGGCTTAATAACGCAGTTAGCAGTAGAAGATGTCTTATTAGATACGTACACACGTAGGAAAGGTTTTATTAGACCTTTATTAGACACCAAAGCAGAGTTAGCTACGATAGAGGGACAAAGACCATATTAAATGAAAAGACCGTACAATCATTCACTATAAATATCCATTTCAGCCCTTAAAAATATGCGGCCTATCGTGTGTCGGCACAAAAACCAAACGCTTTGTTTAACTTGATACGGAATATCTTATAGAATTGTCCTGCGCGCCTTTTATAATGATGAATGAAATAATTTAGTTATATGCATTCATCCACAGAATACACCTCTAATCCGGCGCCTGACAACGACGTCTTTGAACATCTGGCTCGTACCTATGCTCGGAACCACCCCGTCATGCATCAGGGTATCGGTTGTGAACGGGATGGACGTACCTTTAAGGAAGGAATTGTCAATGGAGCTAACTGGTATCCATTCGCTGGATCAATGGCCGATTACAGGTTAGCGGTATATTATGCAGTACGTAAAAATAATGCCTAATTGTTGCCAACTTTCACAAGTTAAGTGTGCCTAATTTTGTATTTGCACGAATGTTAATGTACAGAAGTTCAATTATCGAGGTTTGTTCAATTATCCTTAATAAATTTAATTTAGGTTTAATTTAGGTGCAGGAAGTCGCGGAGATGATTTTCATGAAGTAGAGCTCCTGTAATCTGCCCATAAGCTTCTAGTACTTCGAAACTTTTTATAATAATAAAAAATGGTAGATTGTAAAAATTGTGTTTAAGTAGAAGCTAAGGTGATGTCTATACATACTTATATTACCTACTTGTTACTCTATTGTATTAATAACAAGTGACAGTACTTAATAAGACCGCAAAGCTGCAGAGAAGTATTGCATGAAAAAGGAGGAGTCGCAGGCGCTTTCCGATAAGGGGCCGGCCGAATCCTTTTTGACAAGCATTAAGGAATTATTTTGATAATGGACGCCATGTCCCACCACTTCTTTTGTTTAACAAATTTACTTTGAGACAACCATTGTAAAGATAATCCTCCTCCTCCTCGACAACATTCGATTTAACAAGTTATTGTAAGTTGATACCCTGGAATAACACCAAACCTATTTAAGTTTCCTAAGTATTTGCTAGAGTATTTAATAATACTTTTTTTATGCAGTATATGATCAGTAGGTGGCTACTAGTTACTCTGATGTCTAAAATGGCTTTGCTTTCGGTGACGTATTTCCATATGGCCTTCACTCGCGTTGCGGGGTCGTCGTCGTCGTCGTCGTTGTACAGCTACGTCCAAGGCGGATCTCTGGAGCTAACTCTGGAGATTTCTTGTTGCAAACATCCGCCTCAGCGCACCCTTCGGCAGTTCTGGGCGGAGAATATTCGACCCTTAATCCGGCTTATGGAAGAAACTCATCGTGGTGTTAAGGGTATGTATCGAAAAACTGAAGGAACCTCTGTGTCGGGAAGAGGAATCATCGCGTATATCCATGGGCGAGACAATAGATGGCCTAGCTTATTAACCATAGCTGTCAAAGTATTTTTCTATCTAGCGAACGTGTTGATGCAACTCAGTTCACTTGCAGAAAGCTGTTCTATTGTGTCGAGTTTAACTATAGGCTCACGCTAGGCCAGCCTCATGTGCACCTCCCAGTTACGAATGTTTCCTGGGTACTGGGCAGTACTCTTCCTACGAGTTTTTTTTTTTTTTTTTTTTTTTTTAGAGAAAATTGTATTTGCAATTGTAAATACAATTTTTTTTTTTAGAATAAAAGTTGGTTTTTCAACTATTTTGCCTATATGCGGTATACATAACCTTGTAAGAACATCCTTTTGTCCGTATTGCATCAGTTATAAGTTACCGGACAGATGGGTTAGATAGAGGTTAGAGCACAGCCAACCAAGGGCAACCTTAGCCCTTTTAACTGACTGTGCATTATCCGGCACCTACAATGCTAAATTAAAGGTAATTTCTAATTAATTATGTACGGAGAGTTTTTGCCAGGATTTGAAACATCACTTTAGACAAATCTGAAGCTTTTCATAAATAGCTAAGTGCGTATCATATGTTCGTTCCCCTATTGAAACTGATAGAAACACTGAAACAGAAAATGTCTGTTTCCTGTTAGCTAATTTTTCATGATCAGAAGTGGACAAACCTAGCAATATTAGAAATATAGATAGCGTCTTAAGCTATTCTGGAATTGCGCTCAGGAAGCCAAACAAACCACAAAAGCCATAAACGCTCGGGAGTTTCGTAGCTGCTGCTGCTGCTACGGGCAGTTGCTGCAACATTAGCTAACGGAAGCTCTGGATTGTTGTGAAGATGCCTCCATTGGCCTGTATTCTTACTGCCTTTGACACTATCTTGCATATATCTATATGCATAGAAGCGTGCATATAGATATATGCACGCTTAGCATTTGCGTGCTCTGAGGGAATGTTCCGTTCGGGAGTAAATGCGAAAGAACAATGTCAATGGCCTTAATGCAATAAAATTACGATAGAATAATGATTGGTATTATTCTGATTGTCCTCATTATAGGCCAGTAGATCTGAAGCAAAACAATGTTCTCAGGACGGTCTAATAACTATAAAAATATTTGTTTTTTTATGGCAACACATATATATATATTAAGTATATATCGTTACATATGTATATTAAGATTTATATCCTTACATTGAACAGTTAAAAGTGAATTGACGGTTTTTAGCTAGATAATACGACTTAACGTTGGTGTCATTTGATATCGGAAATTTTCCTATAATAGATGCGCTAAAATTGTCTAGATAACTTTAGAATGCCTTTTTTCACACTTAAATAAATATAACTTAACAATATAAACAGACTTAAATAGAACAGCTTGAAGACGAGTGAACTTTCTGCGGAAGTTCGCTGCATTTAGTTTTTTTTCTTTTTCAAGACAAAGGTATTATTATAGATGCTGCCTAGATCCGTAAAAAAATTTTGATTGTTCGTGGTCAAGGTAAAACAGCCTAAGGATTTTCAATGTAAAAACTGTCGCTTCTAATTACTACGGGATCTGTAAATAGCCGTGATATATCCAAGGAACTAAACAATTTTAAGCTATTAGGAGAAAGCTGGCTACAGAAAAAAAAGCTCAGTGTTTAGATGCCATATGGATTGAAATATCTGTGAGACTCTTCTGCAGCAATTGAGCACCGGCCGATGAAAGATAGATGATATACGATTAAAGTTTGCGACAAAAAAAATATAGTATGATAAAGGAATCGAGCATTGTAAGTAGTTGCTGCCGGCGGGCAAAATGATATATCCACACACCGCTAACGGGTTGACAATAAGCCGTTGCAATAAACTGACCGGAACTAGTTACCACAATAGGTAACAATCCCAGGCCACTCGCATCTTTAGCTATCCGACAGAAACCGAGACCGCCTAAACAGGAAACCTTAATGCATTTGCCATATAGACACCATCAGGCTATTATTTGATTCGGTCCTTATAGAACTCTTTTAGTACTGTTAGTTTAGCTCTAATAGAGACACGTGAACGTTTTTTTGTCACAATTTTCTTCGCTAGAGGTTGCAGAAGATCGATAGTTATGGGATGATGGTTTTATCTAGCGTACGTTTCGACTACTAACACTTGTAAAATATAAAACACATTTATCTCAATTTGGCTTGAAAACCAGCCGATCAGTATTTTTTTTTGACAATCCGATATGTGTGGTATTATAGTGTGTGGAGTGAGAGCACAGAAGAAAAGCGGCAATTAAGTATAGAAAGTTGTTATTATGTTATTATTGTATGGTGTTGAACGAATTCTTTTTTGTTCTATTACGCTGCTGCTATACAACTTGGACAGAACTTTTTCTCTAGCTCTATTGAATTTAAAAATTCGATTGAAAATAAAGCTTTTTCCGTATTCATAAATTGTTTATTGTAATGGATTATCTTAAGATCACTATACAAATAGGCAGAAAATACTAGGCAAGGATACCGTGCGATTAACTGAGATGGCAAGGCTTTACAGGTGCGTCTTTAAAGCATGTAGTGGTGAGGGGTTGATCGAGTTCAGGGTTGTCAGGCTGATAGGACTTAGCACCTTTTAGAGCCCGGCTTGGGTTTTTTGGGACTTGTCCGCTACCTGCATTGCATCATACCCGCTGAATTACTTGTTACGGTGATTAACGCCGAACACTTACGTGTCACGTAAATAACGTCCGTGTTTATCGATACGCTTCATGCTCTGACGCTATAAACGTTAACTGTACAATAGTCTCAAAGGTCACCATAGGTCTGTTTTCGTACGCCATCAATAGATCCATATAGTGATATAGTCAATAATTATAACAGGAATATAAAGGATACGCGTATGTGCGGCCGAATACGTTGAAAGCTCACAATGAAAAGCGTAAAATCATTAGCCGTTTATCATTCGGAGAGGCCTACACAGATAAGTGTTTTTTTTTTTTCTGTCGTTCTAATTAATATGGGTATAGAACGGCCGTTTTAAGTAAATGTTGAATCAAAGTTGAATTCTATTACCAATGACATGAGAAGCCACGATTTGTTTATAACTGTAAGGAAAAACGGCATGAACGATTAACAGTTACGTAAAGAAAAGTACGTATAGGTAGCGTATCGAATACCGGACAAGGTTAAGGATGCAAGCGCGTCTGTGTGTTAAGTCGCTTCGTTGTCGAAGAGGCTGTTAAACGTTCTATGAGTCATATACAGTACCGATATTTACAGGATCGCGTCCATTTAGCGAATATTTACGAGGTATTGGCCCATCTAGATCTTGCGATTAGAATGGGTGCGTCATGCACGACGAGACACAGATCTGCGAATAGCAAGCAACGATAACACTGACTTATGAAAATACTCTATGTTACAGGCATAATTTCGGATGATCAAGGCGGTCCGATCGGGGGCGCTCGTATGATAATTAAGGAACGTCAACAGGTCGCTTTCCACACGTCGCCCAGAGGTCGGTTCATATCTTTAAATTTTCTTCTCAGGGATTTTGAGAAGCCCATGAAGTTCTCCTTAGTACAGGGCTCATTTAGAACAAGCGAGTATCTGGCGCTAGCGACAGGCTCATAGCTCATGTGTCCCTTCCCCTTATATAAAAAAATTCTGTTACAGTATATCATTTAATGTGAAGGTTTTTTCTGTTGTCCTTTAATACAAAATGTACAGGAGTGTAGTTTGTCTAGTAGTTTAATCACTCTCCATTGTAAAAGCATCAGCTACTGGACATATGAAGATAGAGTATAGCAAGACAATGATTTACGAATCACGCAGATCTTCGCACACAAAAACGGTTTAGCAGTGAGCCTTAATTCGGATTATTCCTACTTCATACCTTCGTGGCTGTTGTGACAGAGTTATAGGCCCGGAATGATGCAAAGTAGAGCCCCACAAGAGAACAGTGAGGATAGTAATGACGAGAGAATGGGTAGTATCCCTTTGTATGGAGAAATCAGCTGTTAAAGTATAGATTCTAGAGTTACTTCTCTGTTTAGCTTCCATAAACTTCTGTTTTCAGTATCGTTTCAGAGAGAAGTCAACAATAGCAATGAGTCCTGTGTGAAATCGCGAGAACTTCTGTTGTCTAATGCATAAAAGGGTTGCGTCTTTTGATTTTCAAACAATGATTTGAAGTTTACGTACGATCATTTGGTGGTGATATTCTCCACAGCCTAGTATTTCATTATGGCAGCTATTCTTATCTCTTAGCTAGCTAATCTAATTTTCTATAGATGACATATTACTGCTAATTTTTTTTGTTCCTCCTAATTATTATAAGGTGAATTTTGGCGAATCCTGCTTCCTGGTTCGTACACGCTGTTGGTGTCTGCTGAAGGATACCAGACAACAGAAACGCCATTTACTATCGTCCAAGGTAAGCAAGAATGTTACACGATGTACCTCCAAAATACCAAAGCGACATTTCGGCATCGAATATTGTTTTCACACTGTACTTTTATCAAGAACATTTAGAATTATGTTGGATTATATATTATTTGCGATCAACGCGACGACTCTTTGCACACTGTTTCTGCGCCATGATAGGTCACAGCGCGGTCCTGAACATTACCTTGAAGGCGTTACATCATCCCAGCAATTATCTGATTGGCGACGGAGATAAGCTGGCAGGTACGAAATAAGTGAATATTTCAAAGCTGTGATTTGCAGTATATATTGAAGGACAATTTTTTTTTTTCCCGTATTTCAGTGGTCCGATAGAGCATATTCTTGTACACGATCCATTGATAGACGTGTACGCTGGATTCACTAACAGTTTGTATGCCTTACTTTCGAAATTCAGGAAGCGCAACGGGCCAGCACTTTGGCTCATACTACGAACCGTTACCGGCTGCTTCCGCTCCGAAATCATCAAGTAAATGAATATTAACTTTTTCCGGAATAATTATCATTATAAGATTCCAACATAAAATAATTAGTTTCCAATGTTAGAAGCCAATATGCTCACTAATATTTGCCCTTTTTTATAATATCTATAATACGATTCGACCAAATGAATAAAATACGATTATCAATGATCCCGTTTCAAAACCATGTTATTCAGTAATGGTATGCCAGTCTGAAGCAACGCTTAACAGTAGTATAGGACGTAATTTGGACGACCAAACATTCACTTCGGGAAAATAATAAGATTCGATTCCCGGACGTCCCCGGATACGCTTGTTAGTTTTCCCGAGGCAACATAATTACTAACAATGCCTTTTCTTAACAAGTACATTAGCGTTAAAGCGCTCTAGCATTGGACGGGTCATCATTAGTCGCACTATGTTTAAGATAGGTTTTCGGCTTTTTCCTCCCACCCTCGACCCGGAGTATTCCCGTTCCGGAGCCTTCGGGAGCTCAGTACTATCATAGAGGTGTGAGGTGCCTGCTCTCGGCCGCGTAGCTGCGTAATTTCCATGTGACCCTCCGACACCGTGGACTCATAGTAGCTACATATCCAATCTATTTGTGTAAAAAAAAAAAAGAAAGGAGCAGCAATAATGAATACACTAACATATGTTTTTCGCGTTACAGTGTCCTGGGCGGGCCGGTTGCTTTCGTTCCTGAGTCCCAATCGAAGGAGTTAGCGGTCTAGCCTAACCGCGTCTTAAAAGAACATCTTCTGTTAAATCTTAGTGGTGTTGTGTAGCGATACTGCCTGTGTGCATACATTAGAATAAAACGAAGCGGTAACCTGTTGGCCATTGACACCTGAAAATAGAGCATTGCGAATGAAAAAATTGCCATAAAAATGACAGATCGAATTCTAGACGAGTTTTGGCGTACCTAAATATCGTTAGTTTGATGAAATTATCTGTTTTGCGTTGTTGCATTTAGAACTGATAAAGTACGCATGGTTCGATATATTTCAAGAAAAGGGTTTTGGTTACGAAAATCGACTCTAACTTAAACCGGTAAGTGCATTTCGTATTTTTACACTGCAGATAGGTTCATAACTTAACGATACGTTAAAGATAAGTTTTTTTTAAATTATATTAAAGATTTGTGGCTATCGTAACCATCTATTCAACGTTTAATAATAGGACGTGTTCAAGACAGATGTCCTGCGGTGGACTGTCTGTATCCACCCTTTGAGCGTGTGAGATTAAACTAATTGCTAGACAAGGAGCGAAGCAATGAGAAGAGGATGAAACAGACCTAACAGTGTATGGTTTGTTAGACGTACACTGTTATAATCCGTATATCGTCTTTGATATATACTTGATTGAAGGCAGAAGATGACCGCCACAGGTCGAATTCAGCTATTTGAAATGAGTTTTCATGGCAAAGTGTATCCATGACGTCGTAGTTGCAGGCCAATAGATAGATAGCTATTGTCCAGATATTCACTAGCCACCGCTTCGTTTATGTCCACAGTCAACGAACAAACACTATTTGCAGTTAGTTTCGTTTAACTTACACCAAAACAGAGATTGGTTTATGATAAACTGTTATATTATACTTGCTTTATGTAGATGATGCTATCAATTACTAGAGGGTGTGCGTACGTGGGTCTGTTTGTGGCCTTTGTCGTTTATGGAAATAGCTTGTTCAATAGTAAATATTATATTTGGTCGAGCTCATTTTTCTAATCCTGCCTAACGGCAGCGGCCGAATTTTGCGTGAATGAAAACCAATTAATATATACAGTTCGTACGTAAGGTATGTATATATATATATATATATATATATATATAAATGTGACAACTTCACATTTATTAGGCACAGAATATTAGTTCCAAGTATTAATTACTATTCGTATGTAGGAGGTAAAAATGTCTATCATATAAATAGTGAACAATGGTAACTATCTGTTTCTACAACTTTGTGCTTGTCTTTATTTTTGGCCAAATCTTAACCTTTTGGTAGAGACACGATTTCCTGTTAACGACTTCATGTATCATGAATTATAATACTCATATACATATACCCATAGACACATTGTTAATCATGTTTTATTACTACTGCATTTCTATCCGAATCGAAACTATTTCATGGATAAAATAGCCTGCGTAGTTTTCTGCGTACTTAATTCTCCCATTGTTTACGTTCCGATAAGTGCAAGTAATAAGATATAAATGTAGATGCAAATTAACATACATGTTGTTGTTATTAATATTGATTATTCGAAATAATTCCTGTTAGCTTAACGCACTTGGCAATATGTTCCCAGTTGAAGCGGCGCATTCGAACACAGTGTTTCTCACGAAGGTCACGGTTGTTCTCTTCTGTTGAAACCGGACTGGGGAAGTGGGTCATTCTAAACAAATATCCGATTTGCATTATCTTACTTGTTTCTTTCGGACATACCCTTTACTTGGGGTTTTGTTCACTTGACAGATCATCGTTACGCTTAAATATTTAGTAGACTTTGTCCTTAAAGTTTTTAAGAACATTCGCCAGATAATGCTTTCAGATATACAACAGGCTGAGATGTGGATTATTAATTCGCTGTCCTAGAAGTTTTCCGTCGTGTCTTCAATTCTTTGAGTCATTGTTTTAGTATTCAACTCCGTTAAGAGTGCTGCTTTCGAACGCTGCATATTCAAGTCATAAACCTTTGTTTCCATGAATATCTTCCCGATGGGCTATTTCAAATCGTAGTGATTTATCTGTATTCTAAGATAGCATCTGCCAAAATCATAGTTGCCTCCGATTGTTTAATGGTAACTATAATTTAGTGAAAAAAAAAAAAAAAAACACAAAATAGCAGTTCTTAGAGAAAAAAAAAAAAAAAAAGAAAAAGTAATTTTTCCATTTCTGGCTTGCTATAATAGAGGCCATATTTGTTCACAAACAATACAGTAACTATAATCACTTGTCGGACTCGGATATAAACTAAGCTAGGTTAAAGTAGACGCAAGTAATTGTAATTTTACATTGAAATTTTACGAAAACAAGTGCCCTACTTTGAAAGCTATACACAGATACAACATTCGTATTTTATGGGAAAAATTATTCCCACCGTCTAGCATTAGCAGGAGGAGTAATTAGAGAACAACAAGTGACCAATACGTGTTCACCGTACGGCTACCCCCTACATTATACGTTTTGCCCTTAATACTTATTGTCTACAAAGACGCTCACTCCCGTCGTTCATGTAATCTTGCTAGTACCGGTCTCTTCTGTTTGTCGACGCCCAAAAACCGATTATTTCTACACTATGATTAACTGTATCCATTTGCATACATCTGTATAGACATTGTCAGGGGTCAACTGGACAGCTGCATAGATGCACAGGTTCTCACAAAAGACTCAGTAAGTTATTGTTGGTCAACCTCTTTGTTCGATGATATATCTAGCGGTAAAAGAACAGCTCAGATACTGGCTATTCAAATTCTTGTCAGCTTTTGTATCATCCTATTGAAATTGGTTGAATTGCCTCGAGATTTCTCTCATATTGCTAATATATTCGTGTCGCTGACGTTCACGTAAAGGCCATCGTTGCTGAAAGTATCACCATCGTCGCTGGCCGCTTGCAAAAATGTGGAATTAACAAAAATGCTATAAAACTATTTAGCTTAAGTTGAACTCGTAATATTAATAATGAAAAAATGAGCGTAGTTAATTTTAAAAACTGTTCGTCATTGGGCGATAGGGTCACTAAAGTCTGGAAAGACATTACATGACCCTGTAAAGTTGTTAGGTAAAACCGTGTGTCATCGTCTAAATGTCACTGGGAAATTCTAGCGGGAAATTCATATTTCGATCTTCTTCTATTTCGTTAAGCTTACTTACACACGACGTGTGAGGCCCCGCCACATGGCTGAGCTGTTTGCGGCAGCAGACCTGCTTCAACTGGACGAACTTACGGCGCAGCCTATGAACTTCTTCAGCAGCGACATGGCTGAGTGTCCGCAAACGGAGGGGTCCCTTGGAGACCAGCGCTAAGAAAGTATAGAACATTTTCTATCAGAAGTATCCAATATCTGCGGCGACAGATAAACAAATCAAGGTCCTACAACATGCCTTCCAGTGGTGCAAAAGACAACCGGATGAAACAAATTGAACTTGCTTGACAGGATCAGTTCTACTAGTCCCACCCCGATGTTGCGGTGACCAAATCAGTCTGAGTTGTGACGACATATGCAGAATATGTATCAGACACCGACAATGGGTGCTTAGTAAAAATTAATTGTCCCAAACAAATTGGGAAACCTTTGTTTCATCACGAAGCGTGCACTACAGGTGCAAGGTGTTTGTCGTCACGAAAGGGAACAAAAGCAAGATCAATGTATGCATTAGTACGTCGGTATAATGAGTCACTAGTACGCAACTCAGTAACTTTTAAGAGCTATCAGAATTTGGGACATTTATAGGAATTAAGGTATACGTATGTTATTGTATTGTAAAAATATTTATATATATATATATATATATAAAGACACGGACCGGATTTCCTTTGTTTGTCGTGTTTTTGAGCTAGTTATAATTGTCGCCTACGTTACGACCCGCGAAATACTTATTGGCATCAAAATCATGGACCTGATAGGAGTATATGGAAGTATCGTATTTGCTTATACTGAGGATAACAGCTTAATAATAATAAAAATGAGATCGGTAATTTGGTAAAAAAATAACGAGGGGAACCTACATACTGGTGTCATTATGGGTCTATTCTTTACATGGATTTTTACAGTTGTACTTATATCGTAAGTACTACAATATACTCGTTAAACGACATTCTGCTACCTATAAACAAACTGGTTATTAAACAACTTATTAATTAGTGCTAAATTTCAATATCTTTGTAGAGAAAAATAACACTCGATAACGCGGTTTCAAGACTAACTGTGTTAACTGGACTTACGTGGATACTGGATACCATGGTGATACGGTAAGTCCGCCGAATATAACTGGTAGAGAGATTGGTAATCAAAGAAGCGATCAATGATTACCATTGGACTAAAGCCGATGCCTGTTTACGTATAGATCGATAAAATGTCGTCGTGAAATGAAACGAGGCCTTATGTAAATTGCAGTTGCCGGAAGTTCAATTGTAATTAAATGTGTCAGTACACTGTGTCCTTTGTCTCCTTTCAAGAGTTGTCTTCATATAGTTTTATTATCATGCTATGTCGTAGGTAAGAGTGCCTTTTTCAGACACTTAAAGATATATTAATATCACGTCTGCTGGATTTTGAATATGTATCTGCCGGGATTTTTTTTTTTTTATAATTCCCAACGAGAAACGGTGTGTTACAAAGCCATTTTAAACCTAGAATCAACTAGAAGCACTTGTACACTGTTCACCTACGTACATGTGCATAATTATCTATCTACTGACGCAATGGTTAATTGGGTTTTTCTTTCGCTTGCAATTGGACAGACAGCTGTAAGAAGTACCAGAAATGCTGAATGAAAAACGTATTCAGGCGCCTTAAACGCCTTAAAGCATCAATACAACTAGAGGAACGTAATCTATGCTACAAAATGATTTTTCTTCAAACATCTGTTGCTTGTTAATGAACGGACCGAGAGCTTTTTCAGCTCTTAAGTGTTATAATGCCCAGCGATACATTAAAACATACTACAAATAGTACGCTGGAGTTGTAGTTCCACTTTGATATTAATGACCTCAAATTCCGTAACTACTTCGAGTCGAACGAAGAAATTACTTCATATCTAAGCAGCTAGGGCGAAATAGTAACTTATTGCCTTGAATTGACCGTGACTCCTCAATTTGAGGTCAGCGTTTACAAAAAAAGGAAAAAACACCTACCTAAATCTAACGGCGACCATAATGTAGACATAGTATAAAAGTTCAAATGTATATAAATTTACCAATTTTTACTAAAGCTTTCCTGGTAATCTTTTCAAACTGGCCCAGCATGTTTTTTTTAGCAACGCGGGTTTTTTTTTCTTGAGGTTAGCGCAACTAGCGCATTCGTTATTTATTATTATTTTTAAGCTTTTTTTTACGAATTGCTATTATCTTTGACTGTTTATTACTGCGTGCCCGCAATAGTGCACTATCCCGTGATTAGGTATAGGACATCAATTAAAAATCTGTAAATTCTGGAAATCGCAAGGACAATGAACCTTCAGGTGTTGTTCTTCAGAAGAACATGTTATTGGCACAACTTTGGTTAATAGTGTCCTTGGTTTGCTTTTATTCGAGTACTACTCATGACTTTTTGTTTGCGTTTCTAGCAGCGAAAGTCTACATAACAATAATGAAAATAGTTTGCCATAATCTATTTTCTTCTCTATCAGGTACACGTATAAGTTCAATAAAGAACAGTAATAGTAATTATAACAGCGTGATTGCCTAGCGTGAAGATTCTGCGTGCAAAACCACGCCTATCAATGGTTAACGTGATACTAGCTCCGGTACTCGTTGCATAGGTACCTTCCGATTGATCAATTGATAACCTTTTATTAAGCATAAACACTTATTTTAGATTTCTGCAGCGACAAATAGATGCGAATGCTTGTTTTAAAAGTTGGCGGTGCAGTGACCTATGTAAATGTTTGTTTTACTAGTTAGAGGCACCGTTGGTAATTTCTGTCAGCATACGCTGCTCTATATATATACTGTGGTCCGATATTTGTATAGATAGCATCATGTCAGCACGCGATAAGTACCTTCGTAGAAATCGCATTGAAGTATGTGTGAAGTGAGGAATGACGCCTAAAAAGGAAATCGGCCAACGTAAAATCTCGGAACAAGCGTGCAGTGACGGTCCTTTTATTATTAGCCGTTATCTTGCGATTCTAAACACTATTCGGAACAAATGTTTCGTAAGCGTTGTCACCTAGATAGGATCCCATCGCCACCCGAGGGCCAAGGGCATCGACATCAATTCCATTTTCTATTCCACCATTCCAATGTCGTCGAAGCAGCCCGACCAACGCGTAGTAAACAACACGGCTACGGTTGTACGGCCATTGTCGATGTGCGTCTTTTATTACCCATTAAGCTTTAGCATGTTTCTGCTAAGAACGAAATCAAAGGTACATTTTCCATAACACTTAAGAACTTTAAATTGAATACATAGTAGCTTTCTGTATTACGCCAGAGAAAGAGCAACATGTTTGCGTTGAACGTCATTGAACCCAGATATTTTACCGCAAACAGTATTTTCTACCCAGTTATATGTAACAGATACAGAAAAGCAACGTAACACATTTACTAGTAGCGTGGGTTGTAGAATTATCCGAAATCGTGTAAAAATTTTTCAAGAATTTAATATAATTGGGTTTTGACAACCTATTGGTAAAATTATAATCAGGCAAAATCATTTGTGCTAATTAATCACATGAGATACGCAAATACTAGAAAAAAAAAAAGACCTAGCCTAACTAAAGTGAAGAATTCAACGTGATGAAATAAGGACGCCAATTTGGGCCTAGAGTATTGACGAAGGTTGCTACAGGTATTAAATGATTTGAGCAATGGAAAAAGCTATTTGTTAAAGTGTCTGGAAGCTACTGCACATCAACTACGCGTCAATCGACAGAGCCCAATGTACTGAATTAAAACCAATGCAAAATCCCATTGAAATTCTACAGTCTTGGCCTGATTCAGGAACCACAAATTTACGTCCAAATGATTCTTAGTACAAATAGAGGATGACTGGTAGCTTGAAACGTGCAAACGCGAATTTGGTCTAAAGCGCACTAATAGGGAAGGAAATTAGGAGCGATAATGCCTACTAGTAAATGGATTAAAAAAGAAAATTCTGAAAAGCAACGGGTTTTAATCGTGGCCATTGTGACAGAGGGGAGCCAATTACGCGTTGGAGTTACGCAGTTCCAGGTGACATCAAGCAGGCCTATATGAAGGGCTTCCGCCGCTAATGGCCTGTGAAACTGAAAGAACGTGACTATTGACACATTTCTTGAGGTCAGTTATTGTGTAAGTGATGAGTAGTAATACGTCTAGTGCACGCAAGGACAACGATAAATCCACCTTAATAACTCTTCGCGCATTCCCTCTCCTTTTAAATAGCATCGAAACTGTGGACGATACTGACATGAAGCGTTCCACATACAACTGACTCTTAAGAAAGCGCGTCCGCCATTATGCAGTAAGGCACTCTATTGTGAGAGAAAAGGTCGTCTGCTACATCTACAGTTGCAAACAGCTGGAAGCCCCTTCATAATTGCCTGTGTGTTAGATACATTCGACGATCAAATTAACTAAATAGCTAGGAACTGGTTAGGTAGGACATCTGCAGACAGCATTTCAACGATGCCTATAAAACTTCTTAGTGATTTCATCGGTTGCCTCATCTCGACAGAACGTCTGACAATGTCTAGCATCGTTTTGTTCGGAATGATAGCAATAAAGCATACTCCACATTGATTAAGCCTGGCATCTTGGCGAAATCCGCTCAACGTCAAGGAATCCTAGGGTAACTTGGTAAATCATGCGTTTGCCAATGAACCGATGAATGTTCCGAAAGTGACCGGCTTTGACACGTGTTTGAGTTGGGTCAGTCTATTGTCCACGATTAAATTTAGGGACGACAGAACAAGTGGAGCCTGCGCATAATGTGGCGTAAATGACGAAAATGATTACCAATTACCAGTAAATTAGCTTAATTATTAAGGTAATTACCAACTAGTTAGAAAACTCAGATCGAATTAATCTGGAATAAAAATTTATGCAGTCAAAGGGAACGTACTATAATCGAAAGGACCGACTAACTGACGAACTTGGGAATAACGTACACCGTACTAATTCAATCCTTGTCAGAGTTTTTGAATG